GGGGGGGGGGGGTCCTAAATATGTGTACCTTTTGCACATGTATGTCCAGTAACACACTGTCCACTGTACACTATTATTAATAGTACACTATGTACACCGATATACATAAATTATGAATTCATGTACCTCTGGCGTATGTACAAGATGATAAAGTCCCCCGTCTGTTATTGTACTGTCAGCAACATTCAAACTTCTAAAGTAAAATGTAAAGGAACGAATTAATCGCCTCTTGCATTAGCAAATTGAACTTTGTTGCAAACATTAATTCTTTTATCTTTTTCAAACTTCTTTTGCGACTGTCTTCTTTAAAAGCAGTTGAAAGAAAACTAAAGATTTTGGAATTTTGGAACAGAGTAGAACCATTCATAGTAATGATTACCCCTCTTAGAATAAAGATATATCACATTCACACAACGAAATTGTTAGGGCATAGGATACATGGCACGAAAGTAGGAAAAACATTTCTGTTGCATGAAATAAGGTTTGAAGGACGGAAGGTATTTCATATATCAAATTGTAGGCATTGAGTCTTCAAATTTAAATCAAACTAATAATCCTTATATCTTTGCTATGTTGAAGACCTTAGATAGTAAAAATGAACTTTTTTAGAGCAAATAGTCTAAGTTTTCATTATAAAAGGTTTGCATCATCAGGTTGCAAATGTAAAGGGATTAGAAAAATTTAGCTTGTGGCAAGCAAGGTCTCAATTTCTTTATTCTGGAATATGCATGCAAACTTGAATTTAATTGATCATTCGGTAGAAATAAATTCCCAAGATTTTATAAAATTATTTGTCTTCATCATTCTTTATAAAATTAAAAAATTCGTTAATTTCTACAGCACCAAACGAACCAGAAACTGGTCAAGATTTGTTACATTCTATAGACTAAAAGAAAACTGGCTCAACATAATAAAATCTGTATGTTGACATGAAAACAATCATAATTATACAAGGTTAAAGAATTTTAAAAATGGACTTTTTATTTTATTTTGCCATGCATTACATAATTAATAGATATAAATTTAGATATAGATTTAAGTATTGAATTCTTGTGAGGGAAAAATTCATGATTTTTTATCATTAATGAAAAAGTTAAATCTTGTGAAGTTGCAGGAGAAATGTTTGAACTTTGAATTTGGAATTTTTTTAAGAGAGTCAAACCCATATATGATGATTTACACAGTACTATTCGTAAAGAAAAAGTTCATATGAAATCATGAAATCATAACATTTATAATGAGAAAACTATTTTTAGTCAGTAAGAACGACTACTTTAAAAATCAAAAACTTTTTTCTTTTTTCTTTTTTTTACAAGAATCCAACAAATATAATTTTGAAAGTCTTCCAAAAATAAATTTAAAAACAGATTATGGTTCAAGAATATTGAAATATTCTTCGTTCCATTTTATTAATTATTTATATTTGTGTGTCCCAAAAAGTATTAATATTAAACGACGACTGACAAATCGTCATTTCTGTCATTTGAGATTTCCAAATTGTGTGTTTCTTTCCTTGTTTCTTTTAAGGATATTCATATATTCAAAATATTTTTATGTAGTTTCTTAAATTAAAAATCTGTCAATTTTAAAGATACAAAGTTGGCAGGCCACATTCCTGAAATACCTGAATTGAGTGGTTTATTGCAATATCTAGGTTTATACCTGAGATTAGAGCATGTTCTCCCGATGGTGTTGAAAGCTTCATTGTCAAGTATTGTGTAGTTTACTGCAATATCTAGGTTTATACCTGAGATTAGAGCATGTTCTCCTGATGGTGTTGTAAGCTTCATTGTCAAGTATATTGTGTATAGTTTACTTCAATATCCAGTTTTATACCTGAGATTAGAGCATGTTCTCCCGATGGTGTTGAAAGCTTCATTGTCAAGTATCGTTCCCTCCAGGTTCAGAATTACAAGAAATGGAAAATTCGCAAAAAACTGTAAACCAATTTTGCAGATAACTTGCAGACAGAAACTTGAATATTTCAACCGAGTCAACTGTTCTCCAGACTTGTTTTGCAAGCTAAGCAAAAAAACTAGAACTTAGTAAAGAAAGAAAAAATTTTCACACATTTTTGGTGAAAGCTTTTTTTTGCTTTTATTAAAAATTAAGCACATCATACTTTTTAGCGTGGAAAATGTTGAATAGTAATGGGGCTTAATTTTCATAATTCCAACTTTAACAAATTTTCCAAAAGTTTTATCTTTATAATTTTACTTTAATCTACGAAATTGATAAACCTTGTTGTAAAAGAGAGGTTGAATGGTTTTGCATGAAGTAAACTCTAGTTTCTAAATTTAATAATTAATCAGTTTAATTTAATCACCTAGTCATCATTCTTTGTCAAAATTAAAAGTTTTTTAACTTGCACTTTCCGGACACTGCAAAAGAATTTTGAGTCTGTGCCGCTAACTCAAATTTTCTAATCCCTATATCCTTGTAACCTGATGATGTAAACCTTTGATAAATCAGACTTAGATTATTTGATCTAACAGAATTCATAGTTTGAAATATCTAAGGTCTACGACATTGGATTGCAAAGATATGGGGATTAGAAAATCAGAATTTGGGCAAAGACTCAATTCCTTTAAATTTAATTGTATGTATCAACTATCAATTGTATAATATTTAACTATAAAAAGAATCTGTAAAGGTTTGTAAAGATATTTAGGTAATATGAAAGGGAAAAAACATTTAATATTTATATTAACATTGTAAACCTTTCTCATATTATCTAGATTTGGGCTCTCTATTTGTTTGTATGTTTGTATCCAATAACAGTCAAAGCGGTTGAACCGAAAAGGCCCATTTTGTGGCGTGGAAACTCCTATGGTTGAGTAAGGGAAGGTTTTATATTCTATGGTATATTTTTCTATTTTTCTATAGCTGAAGCTTCTTAATTTAGGGAAATCATTGCAAAAGCAAAATAACTTTAAAGGGAGTGACCGGCAATTTATGGTAGTTGAACTGAGAATGTAGTATCGTGGAGACATATTTTTAGGAATCATTTGAGACATATGAGACGTGTTTACGGTTCATATTTGTTCAATATGAACTGTAATTTTTTTTTACATTTTTGTCCTCGTTATTTGATAATTTAAAAAAAAACAATTCTCAAAACGTAACCACCCAAATAAATGATTTTGAACGTCGACTTTGAGCTCAAACTTTATTATATATAATTAATTACGTTTTATATGTCTCAAATGAATCCTAAAAAAATCTCCACAATACTACATTCTCAGTTCCCTGCCATACATTTGCCGATCACTCCCTTTAAGCCATAGCAATTTTTTTGAGGATCGTTATATGAAATTAACTTTATATAGATAATTTAATTAAGTATCTAAAACTTCATATTTTAAATCCCATGGAAGGTGACAATGCTATTGTATTTGTGTCCTAGAAGATTTTGTTCAGAAATATGTTAGTTTGTAAAATCATTATATAATAGTATTCTGTCATTTTTTGGGTGTGCGTTATCAATGAAAGGGACAGTTCTCTGTTATATTGTTGGTACCTACTTCACTACCATGAACAATCTCTTTAAAAACCTGAAAATTCTAAGATACGTGTATCGAATGAATTGAGTATTCAAAAAAATATTTTTTTATATTTTTAAATAAAATTTACCCTGAGCTGTTTACAGTTGACAAGAAGTTGTGTTTGTATATGTCTTGAAGCTCGCATAATCACCGTATACGCCTGGATATATAAATAATAAACAATAAATAAATAAACTAATAAACAATAATTCTTTGAATTTTGGTAACCTGAAGCTGGGGTAAAAGCAGCTGATGAAGAGATTGCTTTGGTAATCCTCTTTTTTCACTCATCATCTACTCAACAAACTTATTTANCCCTGTATCCTATCCTATACTGTTTCTAGAATACCCGGCCTGTATCCTATCCTATACTGTTTCTAGAATTCCCTGTATCTTAGCCGAGCTGTTTCCGGATCACCCTGTATCCTATCCTATAATGTTTCTAGAATACCCTGTATCCTATTCTTTTCTGTTCCTAGAATACCCTGTATCCTATCCTAGCTGTTTCTAGAATACCCTTCATTCTATCCTAGCTGATTCTAGAATATCATGCATCCTATCCTATACTGTTTCCAGAATACCCTGTATCCTATCCTAGCTGTTTCTAGAATACCCTGTATCCTATCCTATATTGTTTCTAGAATACCCTCTACCCTATCCTAGATGTTTCTAAAACAACATGTATCCTATCCTTTTCTGTTTCTAGAATAACCTGTATCCTATCCTAGCTGTTTCTACAATACCTCGTATCCTATCCTAGCTGTTTCTAGAATATCCTTTAACCTATCCTAGCTGATTCTATAATACCCTGTATCCTATCCTAGCTGTTTCTAGAATAGCATGTATCCTAGCCATAGCTGTTTCTAGAATACTCTGTATCCTATCCTAGCTGTTTCTAGAATACCCTGTATCCTAGCCATATATGTTTCTAGAATACCCTGTGTCCTATACTAACTGTTTCTAGAATACCCTGTATCCTATCCTGGCTGTTTCTTGCATACCCTGTATCCTATCCTAGCTGTTTCTAGAATACCCTTCATCCTAGCCATATCTTTTTCTAGAATACCCTGTATCCTATACTAGCTGTTTCTAGAATACCCTGTATTCAAGCTGTTTCTGCAGTTTTTACTGAATTCTATAAAGAAGTTATCAGCACAGACCAGACCAACTCAATCCAAGAGAAACTAAACTTCATACAATTTATATTTTTACTAGAATTGGAAAATTTCTCAATCAAGCTTTCTTCAACCTCTTATTTTTCTTAATATTTTAGAAATAGATATTCATTCACATAAAAAATGAAATTTTAAATAAAATGTTGATAAATTAAGCAATACGTAAAACTTAAGGCGGACATATTTAAGTATAATGATAATCAAGTTATTTTTGCAAGTATTCCTGAATAAGATCCTCTAGAAGAGAACTGGGATACTCCGAAAATGGTCCTGTTACGCTTTTATACTCCTCCCTGTAATATAATGATCTTATATTCAATTTGGGCCACCAAACATGACAGTAGCTAGACGAATTTGAGGTCGTCTTTCATCTTTGAAATAATTTACGGCATTTATTCGTAAACCAAATTTTAAAAGTAAAATTCTAGAGTTTATACTCACAAAATAGTCATAGTTTTGGCATTTACAAAATGTGGTCTGCCTTTTATGCGCTCTCAATATTACCGGAGATATGAAAAATTTTATTCAGATTTCGACGATTTTTGGTTTTTTTTAATAAAATTAAAATCTGACCGAAATATCGACAGCACAGAAAAGGTTATAGACCACATTTTACAAATGCAAGGAATAAGATAAATTTGTTGTTATTATTTTAAGAATCATACATGTGAAAGTAGGTTGACAACTGAATGTCACAAATAAATTCAAAGATCAAAGACGACTATGACGACTTTCAAGTCGTCTTGCTACTGTCATGTTTCGTGGGACACCCTGTATATAAAGTAGAAATATATCTACAGGGTGTCCCATTAATTCAAGCAATTTCTAGGTCATATGTTATAAACAGAAATATGATGTTGGTTTCATTTATTTAATAAAATTCTTCTTGCATGCATAAATTAGCTCTGTTGTGAAAATTGTCTGAATCTCATAGAATGGCATCAATGTGAAACGAATTTATCTTTAGATGTGTTGAATGTATTATGCTTTTTGTTAAAATATGAATTGTTATCAAAGTTACCGATCTAACACAGCAACTAGCTTTCAATTGTTCTGTCTATACGTAGAGTGTGAATTTTTTATTCAATACTATTACAAATCAGTGAGATTTAAAAAATAATTTCAAAGATAAATAATCTAGTTTTCTATTCAATTAAAAATTGAAAGAAAAAAACCTACATGTCAGAGTCTAAAAGTTTATTAACATCTTTCCTCTCCAGACATCCGTACACTAGGAGGTCATAGTTTACACAGATCGTCTAATTAGAAAATATGAGGTCATAGTGAAAACTGATTGTCTAATTAGCACATATAATAATGTCATAGTTTTCATAGATCGTCTAATCAGCAAACATAAGAAGGTCATAGTGTATACTGATCGTCTAATCAGCAAATATAATAATGTCATATAGTGTTCACTGATCGTCTAATCACCAAATATAATAACGTCTATAGTGTACACTGATCGTCTTATCAGCAAATATAAAGAGGTCATAGTGTACACTGATCGTCTAATCAGCAAATATAAAGATGTCATAGTGTACACTGATCATAGCTAATCAGCAAATATAAAGAGATCATAGTGTACACTGATCGTCTAATCAGCAAATATAAAGATGTCTTAACGTGTATACTGATCGTCTAATCAGCAAATATAAAGATGTCATAGTGTACACTGATCGTCTGATCAGCAAATATAAAGAGGTCATAGTTTACACTGATCGTTTAATCAGCAATTACTTTTGTACTAATTTACTTTCTCCCTGGAAATAAAACTTTGTTGAGGGGGGCCTTAGACCCAACCACTGTGAACGCCCCTGATTCTTGTTGTTGTTTATAGTTTTAAAGTGCCAACTTAAAAAATTTAATTAATTTTGTGTGCTAAACCTGACCTCGTGAATTAAGAAGTTTTACAAAGTTACCTCTAGTGTGAGGGTTCGGAGAGAATCAGGATTAGGTCGGACTGGCATATTCTTTGAAACAAATCATATCTACTAAACCTTTTGAGCATTTCGACTATTAAAATTATAACTTGAGTCTAAAACTTTCACAGTTTTATGTGTAAAATATTTGTCCTTGCTTTAAACATTTCTTTAAAAATGGCACGTAGCGTTTTATGCAACCATGGTTTTTAACAATCAAAATTATTTTATTACACATTGTAAATGGAAGGAACCGGTTTTTCAAAATTCATAAAACTGCATCAATGAGAGTGACTTTGTTATTTCTCTATACTTTAAAACAAACAAAATTGTTAAAGAAAAATATTGACGTAAACTTGCATATTTGCGTAAAGGTTCAAAACAGCTGATACAACTGTACTCTTAACGTTGGTCCTTTCTATTCTAAACTGGACAGACTGACCGCTTTAGCTATACATATAGATACAGGGTGTCCCAATAAACATGGGAATTCAGTGACGAATTCGATATCGTCTTTTTAACAAATTCTTTGATTTAGTATAGTGATACCTACTGAGAAAGCTGTAATCCATAAGATTTTCGTCTGCTATGTTTACAATTTGTTTGTTTATGTTTTGACTGCATACGGTTGTACTTAGTAAAACAAGAAAATTACAGTATACAAACAGAGTAAACTTGTCGGTCTTCACTGTTCATCTTGCGGAGACATTATAGACACATCTTTACAGCCATTTACCGTTTTCATAAAATAAACTCTAGCAGACATAATAATATATGGCTGTTGAAATCAGGTCTCACAATGCTAATGTATAACAAAGACGATATCGAATTCGTCACTGAATTCCCATGTTTTTTGGGACACCCTGTAGAAAGATAAACAGATAGAGGATTAACGGGATACAGTCGTCGTTCGTCGTATATATCAATACAATAAAGACGACTTTTAATTTCAATTATGATTTTAACGGCATGGATGCACAGAAGCATGGAAACAAAAATTAGAAAAAGCTTCTCTTTATTTACAATTGAAAACGTATTGTTAAAGCTCGTTAACAATCAAAGCTTAAATTCAAAAAGTCGTCTTCATTGTATTGATATAATTGCCGACCACTTAAATATGCAAAAATAAAGTTAAATAAAATGGTAAGTTTGTAGTAGGCAGCCCACTGAAATATTCTGTAGGAAGCAGAAATGAAAAGAAAATACAGTTGGAAATATACAAACAATTCTAAGGAAGAAAATAGGAAAACAGGGGAAGCCAGAGAGAGCGATGCGTTGCAATATCTGGGAGAACCAGAAAACTGCGGATAAGGAAGACGACGTTAAAGCAATATTTGTATCTTATGTTGTTTCAAAGCAAATTCAGTGAATCCCAGATATACGATTAAATAGACCATCATAAGTTTTTTGATAATTATAAAGGAACTTCTTTTTATTTTTAATTTAAGTCCTGAAATATGAATGCAATTGATATATTAATATTAAGCTCATTTTTCCGCGGCATTTGATCTTAAGTATGTAATACGACATTATAAAAAACTCTTACTATGAATTCATATATCTGGGATTCACTGTTGTTGTGCATAGTAACTTATTAAATCACTTTTCAAAGGAATTGAGTTTTTTTCACAAACATAAATTTTCAAATCCATAAATCTCAAAAATAGGGTTTCCATTCGCAAAACGTTTGCGCAATTTTTGCGGAACGAAACGCAAAATTTTTCTTTCTTTGCGCATCAGTTTTGCGCGAAAATACAACAATTTGCGCAATTATTCGCAAAAGTCATTTCGCGCAAAATTGCCCTATTCCGCTTTTGCGAAACTCAAGTTTTGCGCAATTCCGCAATTTCGTACCAAAATCCGAAACAGATTGTCCAGTAAAAGTCTCGACAATTTTAGTTTCGGACATGCAGATTTCCTAAAAGTGGATTCTTCAGGCACTGGTTACTTTCTTGCATTATTTTATATGAGATAAAAAAGATTTCAGAAATTTGATTAAAAAAATTTAAGAACATAATTCATACTTGATTAGGCAAAGCTTTTAAGGGTCACTTGAAATTATTTAATAGGATTAAAATATTGCCAAGTTTCACACTCTCTAATTTCTATTTTATTAATTTTGGTCCCATAATTTAAACTTTTTGTTACTGGAAGCAACCAATTGAGTGTAGTATAATCGTTATCATACTCGTATGTTAATATTTTTTATGTATGGAATAAATCTTCAGTTGTTTAATTCTTAGTTTAGAATATCAATTTTTGACAATGTGCCTAAAAAGTTACATTTTGCGTAAAACTTGCAGTTTTGCGCAAATTGCGAAAAAAAAAATTGTGCAAAACTAAAATTTCGTTTCATGCGCAACTTTCGCAAAAAAATATTTCCGGTTTTGCGCAAATTGCGCAAAAAAAATAGCGCAAAACCGCGCAAAACTCATTGCGTTTCATGCGCAAAAATAGCGCAAAAGTTCGCAAAAAAAAAAATTGCGCGAAAATAGCGCAAATTTTGCGCAAAAGATTTAGCCATTTCGTGGAAACCCTACTCAAAAACCTTATTGTGTAAACCTTTAATATTTCAAACTTACACTTCCTGATCTAACAGTATTTGTAGTTTGAAATATCAAAGGTCTACGAAATAGGGCTGTAAAGATAAAAAGATTAGAAAATCAGAGTTTGTGGCAAAAAATCAATTTCTTTAATGAGTCTGTTTACAGTTTACACTGATGTGCCTTATGTCCATTGAACTAAAATCATAACTTAAGTATAAAAGTCGTCTTCCTTGAAATTTCTGTTACTCACTGTAAAAAAAAAGTGTTAAAGGTTAATTTCAAGTCTAGAATTCGGCAAAAAAGATTTTAAAAGGTATTTTTTAAATGGTCATATTGTTAATTGTTTTATGTGTTTGTAGCAAGTCAGTAAAGTTAAATTAAGTTAATCAAATGAAAGGGTTGCTTAATTATTCCACTTTAATCAAATCCTCCATTGGGTTCAGGTTCAATTAAACTCTGACTGTCTTTCAAACTATCTGTGTCTTTATCTATAAATATACAGAGTGTCTCTAAAAAAGTGTGTTTAGGCTTTTTAGGCTGAAAAGCATCGTTGTATTGTGTTAAAACATGTTCGTCGATCAAACCTTTTTTATGCCGTTTTAACCTTCAAAATTAGGCCTAATATTCAATGTTTCCTGTTCAAGGTCTGTGTTTCATGCTTCCTGTTCAAGGTTTGTGTTTCATGTTTCCTGTTCAAAGTTTGTGTTTCATGTTTCCTGTTCAGGATTTGTGTTGATATTTCCTGTTCAAGTTTTACGTGTTTCATGTTTCCTGTCAAGGTTTGTGTTTCATGTTTTCTGTTCAGGATTTGTATTTCATGTTTCCTGTTCAAGGTTTGTGTTTCATGTTTCCTTCTTCCAACTTTAACAATGTGTGAATAAATTTTTAAATCTTAAGGATGAGGAAGACGATATTTGTTTTCACCTTTTATCATAGAATGTTTTTCTTTGATAAATCCCACCTTTATGTAGAAAACTCATTCCGTTTCAATTCCTCCCCTTCCTTTCCTATCTATTTTCTCCTTTCCTGCCTTCTCCTCCCCCCTATTAACACTTCTCTATACTTTTCCTCCACTTCCTGAGACTCTTTCTTCCCTTCCTGATTCTTTTCCTCTCCTTCCTGACATTCGTTCTTGCCTTCCGGATTTTTTCTCAACTTTTCTCTAAATTTTGACACATTCACTCCCCTTTCTGACATTTTTACTCCTCTTCCTGACACTTTTCCTCCCCTTCCTGAAACATTTCCTCCACTTCCTGGAAATTTTCCTCCCCTCCCTGACACTTCCGCCCCCCCTTCCTGACATATTTACTCCCCTTCCTGATGCTTTCTCCCCTTCCTGACACTCTTCATCCCTTTCCCAACACTTTTCATCCAAATGTTGGCACTTTTGCAAATTCTAGAATAGAATAAATATTTTCTACCTTTATTTCCCTCTAAAGAAGAAAGTATGAAAGAAAAGGGGCGTACCCAGCCTAGGAGGGCAGGGTGAGCAAAATATCAGAGATCAGAGTAGGGTTGAGAAATTAGAGAAACCTGAGATATCTGAGTTCCAAGGAATCAATTTACATACATTCACATTCTCATATTAGCCTTCTTAGAATTCGTAATTGTTTAAACTAGACTTATATCTACATACTTCTATCTATCTATACTTATTCACGTTAAACTAGACTTATATCTACATACTTCTATCCATCTATACTTATTCACGTTAAACTAGACTGATATCTACATAATTCTGTCTATCTATACTTATTCACGTTAAACTAGACTTATATCTACATACTTCTATCCATCTATACGTATTCACGTTAAACTAGACTTATATCTACATACTTCTATCAATCTAGACTTATTCACGTTAAACTAGACTTATATCTACATACTTCTATCTATCTAGACTTATTCACGTTAAACTAGACTTATATCTACATACTTCTATCCATCTATACTTATTCACGTTAAACTAGACCTATATCTACATACTTTTATCTATCTATGTTTAGGTATTTAGATTAGGTTTTTAATAAGATTAAACCTAGTTTTTATAATACCAGAGAGAGAAATGGTATTAAAACGATGTTGCTCCGTGAAGCATGACATATGGATAGACGTGTGTAATTCAAGGCAGGTAAAACCATAGATTTCTCCGGGTATTAGCAACAGTAGTATCTCTACAACCTATCAGAGATATTAATATAGATACTAGTTACGCAAAGCTTATTATCACATGAAATCCATAATGTACCCCAAAACATCATTGTGAAGTGAAAAGTGCTTTATCAGAAAATGAAAAAGCATAAAAAATATTCCGTAAAAATAGCTATAACTATAAAAAAAACCTTTGAAAGGTTGTCGAAATGATTGGATTAAAAAGAACCGGAGTTCAAACAGGAGGACTAGTTCTTCTCTTCCTTCTCACGTTAATATACATTTCTCCCGTTAACATTATAAATCCTACCCTGGAATCAAATCTAAGTAAAGATTCAAATACAACCATTGTAAGATTTAAATTAGAACACTGTAACTGTGAGCGAACCCTGGAGATATTTAAAAATGAAAATGAACCCCTGTTCAACTCTACAACCTGTGGTATGGACGCATTCCGACGTGGTTCTCATCAACGAACTATCGGGTTCTCATTCTACGGAGATCCAAGGACTCCTAGGCACAAGTCCAAACAGTACTTTCAGGGTATATCAGAGAACCTGAACCTCCTTCCAAGGTTCTATCCAGGTTGGACTATGAGACTGTATTATGATCTAGCTCCTAATGATCCTCTGCTGGTAGATCTGTGTTCCCTGGCCTGTAAGGACTCGAACCTGGATCTCTGCTACGTGAAGAATCTACCCGGAGTACCGATGAAAGATGCTACAAAGGTTTTTGCAATGAACTGGAGATTCTTTCCAACCCTTGATCCTCAGGTTAGAAACTGGCCTAAATAATATCAAGGTTTTCTCAACCATGCATTTTCACTTTTTTTAAATTTGGTTTTAGTTTTAAAATTACATTTTGTCACTAGCCTCCACGCATGATTCTTCTATCTATATTATTTCTTTACAGAGTGAATCTGAAACCCGACTTGTTTTTAAGATTTGTATTAAAAATGGGTTTATATGGCAATAATTTTCAAAACGTTAAATAAAGGGACTGTAAGCGTAATTTTAAGTGACCTTCTAGTTAAAAATAAACAGCCCCGATACACAACGGTACCCTTGTTACCGTGGACTGAATTTGATCATCGAGGACAGAGAACTTATTGTAAATATATCTTAAATGCTGTGTAAAAAGCCGTAATACTGGAGTTAACGCTAGGGTACTGTGTGAACTCAATGCGGATGACGTCACATTTATTTCTGAAAAACAAATATTTTATGTCCACAGCGGTTTTCAACAATTCAAATGTGAATATTTATATGCTGCCAGTTCTAGAAGGTTTAAAGGTTTAAAGGGTACCGTTGTGAATCGAGTCATCGTTGCAAAAAGAGTCACTTAAAATCACGCTTACAGTCCCTTTAAACTGTTCTAATTATTTAGGGTTCACTCTGTAAATTCACCTAAGCACACAAAGCACAATCATATATGTTAATTTTTTGTAGTATTATTCCTAAGGACGGACGAATTTATTTCTCCAGGTTGAAATCCATCTTTCTCGGGACGCAGATTCAGCTGTCTCCGGTAGAGAGAGTTCAGCTGTCCAGGACTGGTTGAAGACAAACAAATCTTTTCATTTCCTCCGGGATCACCCGGACCAGGGAACCTATATCCTGGGAGGAGGTTGGGGATGGAGAGCCACGCCATTAACTCGTAAGGCGTGGTCTCAGGCGTGGAAAGCAGCTCTAAAGGATCCTCTAAGTTGGGCTGGGAGGAGGGAGGTGGGCCCAGATCAAACCTGGCTTACAAGGTACAACAAGATCAATTATAAGGAAATAAAGATATTTTCTCATCCCTATATATCTTTGCAACCTTGGATATTTAAAACTTAGATTATTTGATCTAACAGAATTCATTGTTTGAAAATTGTAAGGTCTACAACATTGGGTTGCAAAGATAAGGAGATTAGGAAATCTTAGTTTGTGACACATGGAAGAGTTTGACAAAAGATATCCTAAACAGCTGACAGACGAAATAGATATCCTAAACAGCTGACAGACGAAATAGATATCCTAAACAGCTGACAGACGAAATAATTTTTGCATAAAAATATATTTCTCTCAGAAGAAATATTTGCTTTTGATTAGAGGAAGCCGGAATGTATAGATCTAAATCCTAACAAACAAATATATTATTCGGGACAGAAAATTTGTTTAGAAACACTCTGAATTTCTCCAGATCTCTATCCACGACATCCTTACTGTTATGATTTAAAATTTAGGTTCGTTTGGCGCTGGGGAAAGAAGGACGCAATATCTCATGATTCATATCTTTGCAAAAAGTATCCGGGTACATCACCCTTCCCAACCCGACGACTGGAGGAACCAAACAATTTCTTTGGTTCAGTTACATCCCTGAACGAAACACTATTGTTCGAGTGTCCAGAGAAATGTAGACCGAAAGATCATAAAGAATGGATTTACTGTTAACAAAATAAATATTCCTTCTGCGCTGTGAGAAGCAAATAAACAGTGTATTTGGAGCTTGATATGAGCTCAGGAGTAAAAAATTATATAGAATTCAGACATGTGAAAAAAAACCACGCCATTTCATGAAAATCAAATTGTCAATATATAATCAAAAATATTCGGGACTGAATAATAACAATTGTATCGAAATATACCCCAAAACAGACTATTTGCGTTTTTTTAAAGTTTGATAAGATTTTTTATTTTTAAATAGAAAAACAGTATTTTGAATAAACCTCAAAAATATTATTATAAATATTCCAAGATATTGTAATAGAGAAACCACAATTTAAAATATACAGTTTTCAAAACTATAAACATGGACAGCTTATACTAATCTTACGCTTTTAAGGGTACCGGTGTAATTGGGCCTTGTCATCTTTGCATGGAGGGTCACTTGAAATTACGCTTTTAACAAAGTAATTAGGATAAGGGTGGTTCTGAATTTTGATCCCGGATATAATTAATTTCACTAATTTACTATTTATGTTCTATTTTGTAAAAAGTCATTTCTTATTATCATTCTTGCACTGCATAGGGCACATGCACAATAATACATAATAATAATAATCTATGAATATGAGGGTTATTCATGAAAGATGAGACTGTGGTCCAGATTTTATTTATGATTCTTTATAACAGACGAAGAATTTTTAATTTCTTTGTCACATCATGTTCAAGCCTTTGCGAGATTGTTTTTAATATTTATTTCGGTACGGGGTTTTTAATTTGTAGGTTGTCGTTTCAGTCTTCTTATCGTTTCATGGACATCCTTACACGTATATACGTAGCCACACTGTAAAATTATCGTTCCATGGACATCCTTACACGTATATACCTAGCTACACTTTAAAAGTATCGTTCTATGGACGTATATACGTGTAAGGATGTCCATAGAACGATAATTTTACAGTGTAGCTACGTATGTAAGTTTAAGGATGTCCAAAGAACGATAATTTTACAGTGTAGCTACGTATACACGTGTAAGGATGTACATGTAACGATAATTTTACAGTGTAGCTACGTATATAAGTGTAAAGATGTCCATAAAACGATAAATTTACAGTGTGGCTACGAATATACGTGTAAGGATGTCCATAGAACGATACTTTTACAATGTAGATACGTATATACGTAGAAGGATGTAGCTATACACTGTAAAATTATCGTTCTATGGACATCCTTAAACGTACATACGTAGCCACACTGTAAAATTATCGTCCCATGGACATCCTTACACGTATATACATAGCCACACTGTAAAATTATCGTTCTATGGACATCTTTACACTTATATACGTGGCTACACTGTAAAATTATCGTTACATGTACATCCTTACACGTGTATACGTAGCTACACTGTAAAATTATCGTTCGTACTCTAGGTTGGCCTGTATCCTACTCTGGGTTGGCCTGTATCTATTCTCTAGGTTGACCTTACCTGTATCATACTCTAGGTTGACCTGTATCCTACTCTAGGTTGACCTGTATCCTACTCTAGGTTGACCTGTATCCTACTTTAGGTTAACCTGTATCCTACTCTTGGTTGACCTGTATCTCTACTCTAGGTTGACCTGTATCTTACTCTAGGTTGACCTGTTTTCTACTCTAGGTTGACCTGTATCCTACTCTTGGTTGACCTGTATCCTACTCTAGGTTGACCTGTATCTCTACTCTAGGTTGACCTGTATTCTACTCTAGGTTAACCTGTATCCTACTCTAGGTTAACCTGTATCCTACTCTAGGTTGACCTGCATCTCTACTCCAGGTTGACCTGTATCCTACTCTAGGTTGACCTGTATCCTACTCTAGATGGACCTGTATTCTACTCTAGGCTGACCTGTATCCTACTCTTGGTTGACCTGTATCCTACAATAGTTTGACCTGTATCCTACTCTAGATTGACCCATATCCTACTCTAGGTTGACCTGTATCCTACTCTGGATTGACCCATATCCAACTCTAGGTTGACCTGTATCTCTAATCTAGGTTAACCTGTATCATACTCTAGATTGACCTGTATCCTACTATAGGTTGACATGTATTCTACTCTAGGTTAACCTGTATCTCTAATCTAGGTTAACCTGTATCATACTCTAGGTTAACCTGTATCTCTACTCTAGGTTGACCTGTATCCTACACTAGGTGGACCTGTATCTTACTCTAGGTTGACCTGTTTCTCTACTCTAGTTTGACCTGTATCATACTCTAGGTTTACCTGTATCCTACTCTAGATTAACCTGTATCCTACTCTAGGTTGACCTGTATCTCTACTCTAGGTTGACCTGTATCCTACTCTAGGTTGACCTGTATCCTACTCTTGGTTGACCTGTATCCTACTCTAGGTTGACCTGTATCCTACTCTTGGTTGACCTGTATCCTACACTAGGTTGACCTGTATCCTACACTAGGTTGACCTGTTTTCTACTCTAGATGGACCTGTATTCTACTCTAGGGTGACCTGTATCCTACTCTAGGTTAACCTGTATCCTACAATAGTTTGATCTGTATCCTACTCTAGGTTGACCCATATCCTACTCTAGGTTGACCTGTATCTCTAATCTAGGTTAACCTGTATCATACTCTAGGTTAACCTGTATCCTACTCTAGGTTGACCTGTATCATACTCTAGGTTTACCTGTATCTTACTCTAGGTTGACCTACATCCTAATCTTGGTTACCTGCATCCTACTCTTGGTTGACCAGTATCCTACTCTAGGTTGAACTGACCTGTATCCTACTCAAGGTTTACCTGTATCCTACTCTAGGATGACCTACATCCTACTCTTGGTTGACCTGTATCCTACTTTAGGTTGACCTGTATCCTATTCTAGGTTGACCTGTATGCTAGTCGTGACCTGGACAGTAGGTTTACAAGTAGAGAAGAGGCAGCCGTAAAGGAGTGGATGGAGTTGGGTCAACCTATTCATTCTATGCGGGATCATCCGGCTCATACTACACCCTTCCTGGGAGCAGCTTGGGGGGCCAGGATAGATACAGATAATATCAGGTATTTATCAGTCCTAGATCTCAGTTAAACAAGCTTATATAACATATTTTTTTTATGGTTAACTTGAAAGGTCTATTAAAATATATGTATGTGAAACATCACTGTTCAACTTATTTTATAGTTAGTGTATATCTTACATGCTCTCGCCTTGATTAACTATCTTTATGGTTACAGAACATCTAGTTTAACTAATTTTGTTTTCAAGTTTAAAATGTTTTATCTATTGTTTTCCAACTATATTTTTCTTAGGCATAAGTGGGTTCGATCTTGGGAGAAGATATTAAAGGATCCTGAAACCTTTGCGGAGAGGAATATGACGGGTCCAGATCAAACTATTCTTGCAAGGTTCTGTATCTTATTCATCTTCGTATCATTAAAGGTTCTGGATTTAGAAATAATTTCATCTGAAAAACTACAATTTTTGTTTATATTTAATTGTCATATTTTAGAAAGACTCAGTTCAAAATTAAGATTTTTTATATTTTCTATTGTGCAACACGTGTCCTAAGAAAAGCATTTTTTTGATTCATTGCAAATGTTTTTCCCCCTCGGATTGAAATAAAATAAAATAAAATTCCATGCTTTTTGTTTTATGTTCCTTTTATCAAGAAATATGAATGATATTATGTTTAGATATATCTGGGAGTGGGGTCGTCATATGTCTGTTCAGCACGACGCGTACACGTGTCACAAGTTCTCAAACACCATAGGCTGGCCCACACAGCGACTCAAAGGAAGCAATAATTTTGTCGCCGCTGTCGTCGGAGATGCCGGAGGACTTTGGCGAAAATGTCCGAAAAAGTGTCGACGCAAGGGACACTTGGACTGGGAACACTGCTGATTAAATTGTAGTACTTGAAATATGAAAACAATAAGTTCATAAACCAATGTTGTAAACTAAGGTTGGTTACTCACGATGCGCTCCAATGTACGATAAATGTCGTCTCCTGCGATAGATAGATAAAAACCTTATATGGCGTCACTAATTACAGAGGTGACTTGAGAGTGACGTCATATAAGGATTTTACCTATCTATCTCAGGAGACGACATTTTTTAGCACATCAAGAGTAACCAACCTTGCCATAAACACAAATACTGAAAAATGCTGTAATCTTCTTTACAGGTTCTGTCGTCTTCACTTCAAGGGCCCCTCCATGGTAAGAGGGACATGCCTGATTCCCAACAGTACCCTTTAAACCTTTAGTTAAGCAATGATGTGAAATATAACATCGTTTTTTTATTCGAGAAGTCTGATAAATTCTACATCGTTTTCCTGCAGCATAGAGAAACAACATTTGTAAAAGTATCCGGAACAGTACCGTTATTAAATAAAACATGTTTTACAACAAGATAAATGAAAAAAAAATTAAAGTGATTTAAATCTCGAAATCTGAAATCTTTGATTAAGTTTTATTTAATCTTGTAATTAATATGTTTAAAAAATGTAGGAAAATGTGATGAAAACTTTCTCAGACTCAGACTGAACAATTTAGTTCTTTATCTTATCATGCACCCTAAACTGCAGCTGTAACTTGTATGAGCTTAATTTAAAGAAAACTAAGAGCTTAGTCTGGCATTTTAAAATTCATATAAAGGAACTGATTAATTGCCTCAACCTCTAATTTTATAACCCTAAATCTTTGTAACCTGGTAATATGTTCCTAAGATGACTGTAACCGAAACGGTGACTGTATAGGCAACAAAATAGAATTTACAGATAAAAATTATTTTAAATGAATATAGATGGTACAGGGATACCCACAAGGCATCGATACTTATTTATTTTCATGTATCAACGTTTCAAAGATTATATTTTAGGTAGGAGTACGAATTTAACCATAAGAAATCATAGATGTTTGAAACATAAAAGTCTCAGTCTGTGTGGGAAACCCTTCATCTACTTTCTGTAAATCAAATAAGAAAACAACTGCTATTATGCTCCATAATGTTAATTTGATTTATATAAGCATCTTATTAGATTGAAATGTAAATAAATGATTCAGAAATCTTTACTTTCTCTGAGTTATAAAACACGCAACCTATCATTGCTTTTCCAGTAAGTTAGAATTCAATATGTTTCAAAATTCTCATTTTTTTTACTAGGATTTATTTCTTGATTTTCCACCCTGTAAAGGAATTGAGTGTTTGACACAAATTTTCTAATCCCTATATCTTTGCAAACTAATTGTGTAAACCTTTGATAATCTAAAATTAGATTATTTTATTTAACAGAATTCTTATTTTTAAATATGTTAGGTCTACGGCATTGGGTTGCAAAATTTTGGGGATAGAAAATCAGAGTTTGTGGCAAAGACTCAATTCCTTTGATGGACTGTTTTACCCAAGGAATGTACATTGAACTGAACCCCCTAAATTTAAATTAATTAGTTTGTTTACATTGATACCAACAATTTGAAGAAAAATGCATCGTAGGTTTCTAGTGTAAATTCTATCGTTAAAAGAAATTAAGTTGGATTATCTTGATTACTCAAATCTACAATTTATGTATAATAGAAATGTATTGCACAGGGTTATATGAAGGACGAATTGATACCCACTTATATTCTCCATATCCTGTAGGGTGGAGCAGGGTTTATCCTGGAGGGTGGAGTAAGGTTTATCCGTTGAATCATTAGATTGATTAAGGTCAGGAGGATATCAGGGTGAAGGTGGATGGATTTCTGAAGGGGGAGAAATTTGTCAAATTTGGATAAAAATATAACAGTGCATGGAGGGGGTGGGAGGGGAGGGGATAAAATCTTGAGTATCAACAAATTGAAGAAGCATTGAAAACTTACCCTTGTTTCTTTTCTAAATGAATTGAGTCTTTTCCACAAACTCAAATGATATAATACCTATATCATTGAAATCTGTTTATGTAGACTTTTGATATTTCAAACTTAAATTAAATTATCTAGTAGAATTTATAGTTTGAAATATCTAAGGTCTGCGACGTTGGTTTGCAAAGATAGAGGGATTAGAAAATCATGGGCTGTGACAAAAACTTAACCCTATCCCCGCTGGGGTACTTGAAAACCAGGATACGCTGGGGGGGGGTCAATTTGACCCCCCCCCTCTAAATCCCATGTTTTATGTCCAAATATGACAAATGATACATCATTAGAAAGCTCTTGTGCTCTACTTTTAGAATCTGCAAAAAAATTTGCAAATTTGCGAAAATTGAATTTTTTATCGCAAAATCCAGTTTTATAGTAAAAATGTTTGCAAAAAAAAATTTGTCCAAAAAATGACAAATTATACATTTTTGAAAAGCCCTTGACCATGCCATTTCAAATATGCAAAAATTTTTGCAAAATTTTAAATAACCTGATTTTTAATCAAGAAAAACTAAAAATGTGCAAATTTCCTTTGACAGGGTTTTTTGCAAAAAATTTGCAATTTTTTTTTCGCAAAACTTGTGCAATCCGTCTCCTTATGTCATAGGCTTTCCAAAAAGCTAAATTTTATCAAAATCTGACAAGTGAAAGTGGGTCAAAACAAAGATTTAGTTTGCTACAGGCAAAAGCAGTCATTAAGGCAGTGTGCCTGAGGACTCAGGCAGTTAGTATTAAAGCCCGGTTTTAGGCCTAAAGGGAGGGCTTTGGGTATGTAAGAAAAGTCAGAAAATTTCAACAGCCTCAGACCAATACTTTTTGAGTTATGTAGAAAAACTACAGGGGGGGGGTCAAATTGACCCCCCCCCCAGCGGGAATAGGGTTAACTCCTTTAAAATAAATTTCTTTTAAACTTCAGATGTGAAAAGACCCCCATGTGAACTCGTGAGTGTATCCAGGAATATAGGAAACTGAATAGAAACAGAACTAATGGCATAATTACCTGATTGTATCAGACACAGTAATTTTAATCCAATGTCAAATTTAATTCTATCAAATTCCTAAGATATTTCAAACGATTGTGAATTTCTGGAACAAATTTTGGTGCTGAAGCCGTACAAATTAATGATACTGAGTTTATTTTATGGGATCAGAAAAATCGAAACAAACTTTTTCAAATATCCAAATATTATTTAGAATAAAAATCTATCCTTTAATCATTAAAAATGGTTTTCCCTGGTTTTCCCTAGTTCTTCTGGTTCTTCTGGTTCTCCAATGTTAAACCTGGTTCTCCTGGTTCTCCCTGGTTCTCCCTGGATCTCCTAGTTCTCTCTGGATCTCCTGGTTCTCCTGGATCTCCTGGTTCTCCTGGATCTCCTGGTTCTCCTGGTTCTCCATAGTTCTCCCTGGTTCTTCCCGTGGTTCTCCCTGGTTCTCATGGTTCTCCTGGTTCTCCTTGGATCTCCTGGTTCTCCTGGTTCTCCATAGTTCTCCCTGGTTCTCTCCCTGGTTCTCCCTGGTTCTCATGGTTCTCCTGGTTCCCCATAGTTATCCCTGGTTCTCCCTGGAAATCCAGGTTCTCCATGGTTCTCCCTAGTTCTCCCTGATTCTCCCTGGCTCTTCCTGGTTCTCCCTGGTTCTCCTGGTTCTCCTAATTCTCCCTGGTTCTCCCTGGTTCTTCCTGGTTCTCCCTAGTTCTCCCTAGTTCTCCCTGGTTCTCCTAATTTCTGGAATAGTATGAATATTAAGTATGCAAATCAAAGTATGAATATTATACTGCACGACTTAATATTAAACTAATCCTTGATTTTAAATTAGTTTAGACGTTTCATATCCTTAGGGAAATGAAATTTAGTTGATATACAGGGTTACACACAAAGAAATTCACTTTATGTGAATCGGGCATGCCATTTAAGCATTTAGTGTAACTTGAAACTATCCTTACAGTTTCTCTAAGGTCCTTCCTCTACGGAAATGTTTGTGAATAAAACCTTCATTTCACTTTTTTATTTATGTGAATCTTGTGGTCTTAAACGTTTATTTACATATATATATATATATATATATATATTTCTTTGATGTTAAATATGTATATTCATGAAATAAACAAT